GCTAGGACATCTGCCAGTTCCCGCAACACTCTGGGGTGCATCCCATCAGGGCCCATGGATTTGTGGGTGTCGAGTTTCCTTAGGTGCTCTCTGACCCACTCTTCCTCTAGCCAGTATTACTTGTTACAGAACTTGGGCATGGCTTAAAATAAATACAGACTTAAAACTGCAATTGGATTAATCAAGAGGAGGCCTCTCAGACTAGGAACTGAACTGGCATGTAGGAATTCCTTCAAGTCTTTATTTGTATTAGCACAGGAAAACTATTTCTAGTTTTAACAGACTGCTGATAAAATTAGATACAGCTATGCAATTCATATATGCAGGTCTGCTGAATCTGACTCTTCAACAAAACAGAAGAGATAAAGTTTAGCAGAGATATTGATCTATAAACAGGAAAGCTAAGAAATACATATTGTGTATCCACTTAAGGTGTCCTGGACAGACTATATTCAAGTCTCTTCTACAACTCAGACTAAACCATAAGCAATTGGTTGTCTCCTTTTTATTAAAAAAAAAAAGTGAAAACTGACTAGCCCCTTGAGCCCAGGTGTTTAACTAAGCAATAYGGCATTCCTTTCAGCACGGGTCATACTGAAGTCTGTGAGATCTTTAAACATGAAGAGTATTTGTTTTCAAACTTACTGTTTTTAAACAGTTTATATTCTTAGTGTGCTTTATATTACTTTTAAGATGTTCAGTCAAGAAAAAGACTTCCTCTTTAAATATAACAGATTTTAGATCCAAAATGAACACAAAACTGTAAATGTTTCTTCAAATTGTAAACTTAAGAGTTGTTCCCAAATACAACTTCACAATCTTTGGATAAAGACTAGCCGGGTATCAGCCAAGGTTTCACAGTTTCGTATCACAGGCCGGTATTTTAGGTTTCTTGCCATCCAGAATGCACAATTCTTTTTTTTTTTTTTTTTTCCTTCCCAGAGACATTAGAAAATACTAACTGTGGATACACAACTCTTGCTGGTGCTGCTGCCTATCTACATGATCATTAACTTGCAAGTTGCCAGCTTTAAATTTATCCGTGCATTCATTATATCAAACTAAAAGGAACTGAGGAACCCCATCAATACATGAATGCTCAGAACATTTATAAGAGGACTTAGAGTTTCAGTGTGAAATGTCAGAAATACAATGCATATTTTGTCCAGTTTCGTGGACACTCTCCTCTGCCACTCTCCGATGCTGAAATAAAGAGTTATTTTAGTTTCCAAGGTTCTACACTTTTGCTGTAAAGTTGAATTCCAAACTGAGAAGGAGTTCAGAGGTTGTGGTCACAACTATAGAAATGTGACTGCACAGGCACAAGCAGCTTTCTGGGTATTTTTTAGACTTCTCTAAGCACAGCAGTGATGCAGAGCTTTCTGAATTAAAATGTGTACCTGGAGCTGGAATTCTGTCTTCTCAAATCAGAACACCCCTCCCTTCCCCGCCGCCAGAATTCTCCTTGGCATCCCTGCACAAAGATTAAAGTGTCACATTTTCCTAGCAAGTAGTCCCCAAAGCAGTAGTCTCCAAAGACAAAGAAGATTTTATAAAAATACATTTAATTTATTCTTAAAAAGGGCACATCAAATGATTTTTTCCACCAGAAAGTTCTATTCTTACGAAATGTAAGATTTCTGAAACACCACAGTTCTCAATTATGAAATACGACTATTAAAACTGCTGTGCAAAAAGTGTTGTGAGCAATAAGAAGCAGTTTTCAGCAAGTGCTAACCAACAGTTTCAGTGCATCTGACATTAATAATTTCTCCAAAGCAGCACCAGAGGTAATTGTTAAAAGCTAGTATTGGTATTTACTAAAAAGATATATATTAGAATAGAGCTTATGAGGAAGAAAAAGTGTGCTGTCCTGTTTTAAGGAAAGGGTGACTTTRAAAGGAATAAAAGTGTATATGCTTGGATAAAACTGCACGCAAAGACACACTTTGGCAAAAAAATACTACAAACTAGGTATTATATACAAAAAATTGCTATGTATCAAATTCTTACAAATAAAGTGTCAAAGTCGGTTTATAGGAAGAATAGTGAAATGCTTYTTTCTGCCAACTCTAAAAACTTTTAAAAGTACCATGTAATTCACTTTTATTTTGAAAAATAGAAAAATGTGAAAAATATTTACTTAAATAATGTGAAAAAATAGTCTAGACCAGTGCAGTGTGAGTTACAATAGTAATTCAACTATTTTTCTAGTTAAAGGCATTGGTTTGGTCATTTTCATGGGTAGGGCAATGTAATTAAGGCTGACTCATATGAGGACTGGCTAAAGCTTTTCTTGTTAGGGGCAGGCTACTGTGAGTACTTCTCAGTGCAAGTCCATATTATTTAAATGAAACAATAGAACCAGGAAAAAGGAAGAAAAGGTAAGTATTTTCCTAGAAAAGATAAGCTGATTGTCACATTTTGAAACTATCTTTCAGGAGGTACTTAAATATTATTCATAGATATAAAATTTAGTAAATTTATAACCACTATAAAACTTTGTACTTTTTAAACTTCCAAATGCATCACGTGCATGTAGACATAGGAACAGCAGCTTACAGAAGACGTTCTGAAGGTGAAGACCACTGCGGTAGCACACAGCCTTGTTTTCTCTGTATATGCATTCAACAAGCTTCTCAGTCCACATAACTCAAAATCCAAACATCCCCCAAGGTGATGGCTATCCAGGAATTTCATCCACTTATTCCGTTTTCTTTGCCTGTCGTTTCTTCATGCCATCACGTTGCTGCCCAGAGGAAGGCCGGTCGCACACTGAGGAGCCATTGGAAGACAGAGCCCCTTCACTCTTCCCTTTGGACGGGGCCTGCTGCATGCCGAAGAACATACGGCCCAAGGCAGCCTCAAGGCGGGCAAACGGAGAAGCTGTAGATCGTGTCAGCATCATTGTTGCCTAGGAAGAACAAGGGTCAGGTTGCTTTAATGCTTTCGTACTGGCTGAAAACAAGTTCAGTACTGAGCCAATACGGGGTTCGGTAGGGTTTGCGTGAGGAGATCATTCACCAAGAACAGAAATGCACTCAGTTTACTTTAGCTTRAATTGATCAAAGAGTGCTTTTCTTTCTCGTCTATACACAGCTCTAYACACCCCTCTATACAGAGGGGTCTACACACCCCTCACACAGCTATACACAATGCAAACAAAAAGCATTCGGTGCCAGTTTACTGCAATTATCCTAAGACTACAACACTTCCAATGTTACACRGCTAAGATGAAGAGTTAGATTCAAGTCCAAGTTAGATTCAAGTGTAAGTTGTGTACCTTGCATGACTGAAAAACAGCAAACAGATTGGCTACTTTAACTGAAGCAATCTGATGAATAAACATCTAAATGTATATGCAGAAAATAAAGCCCATCCAGTTCTCAGAATTCCAGTCACACACTTTCATTACATAAAGCTGGAGTTGGCAACATTTATTTAAATAGGAATTTAGATGCATWACTCAGAGCCAGGAGAAACTGTTTTGTAGATATAGACACCGGACCAGTTTGTGACATGAACAGCTTCTAAAATAACCAAGACACAATTGCAGGATTGTGTCTGGTGCACAATTGTTACTTGACTAGTTAAATGGATGCTTAAGTTCCTAACTGGCAGGATGACTCTTAGTTTAAAAGCTCATGCACTGAAGTGAAGCTTAGTGGACAGATTCTGAAAACAGCTGTAATCTGTCCATTTCCAGAATATCTTTTCTTTCCTTCTCCACTCCCAACCATGCCCAGATCAGCAACATTTCTGCTTATTTTGATGAAGAACCTTGAGCATCAGCCTCAAGTCACAACACCCAAAAGCAATTTCTCTGAAATTAAATTTYCCATTTAGTTCACAGAAGGGAGACTGGCAGCTACTATTTTAAGACACTCTTTAGTCTGTTCATTAGCAGCAGGTTGGGAGTGCTTAAAATTGCTATGATATTGCTAATGCAGAGACTAAACTTTTCTTATCAGCCAAGAATCCTGAAGATAGACATTATTTTGGAGATGAACAAGACTGAAGAGAYCAAGAATCAATGAAGAATTAGTATCTACTCTGTATTAAAAATTTAAGTTACAACTACTTCAAAAGGTGCACTTTCTGTTCCCCACCAAACATTTACATCACTAATGCTTTAAGCTTGATCAGCATCTAGCTTGTTTTGCAGAACTACAGATGCTTGTGTATGTTTAAGGAAAGGATTAAACAGTTAAGAAAAGGCAGAGGTGAGTTTCCTTCCACAAACATCGACTTTGTTTCAGATTAGGGGCATATAAATCTGGCATACCAAAATTCCCRGCCTATTTTACTCATTTTATGCTGAACAGTATCAGAGTAGTCCTTGGTTCTGCTTAGGTAGAGAAGACTGAACACAGGCTTAAGACATAACTAGCAGGCACCCTCCAAGTCCTGAAGCAAACATCCTAACATGCAGCAGAATGGTAGAAGATATTTTTTCAGCTCTAAAAACAGTAAGAAAAAAAAAATCAGTTATTTGGTTATATATAACACTTCAGAATTCTTACCTTGGTGACCACAAGAAAGATGGTATATAAAAATATGAGGTTGTGTCTTGCTATTGGCAGGTACTGGCTATGTTGCAGTGTGAAAAGAACTGCTCCTATCAAAGTTACCTTAACAGGGCTGGAAATAAAACAAATCGTGTTAATTTCTCTTCTCTGCTGTCATGGTCTGGAAAGCAGTAAAGCTTCTCAGCATGCTAAACAGTTATTTCTGACTACACCAGAGCAAAACCTGTGGTAATAATGCAGTGACAAGTTTCATAACCTGCTTATTATTAAATTATGAGGTTCACATTATAAACTACTACTATGCTTTCTATATAAAGAACAAGTATCAGGTACACTGTTACTTTATATACCCAGCAAACTCTTTATCTGACACATCCTTCTCAAATCAAAATGCATCCCATGCCTCTGTTCAGACAATGCTTATCCATTTCATATTGTAACTTACTTCCATCTAATCTTCCTAAGCTCTACATATTAAAACAGGCAACACCAAACACAAAACACAAGGAAAGGCTATAAATTTCTCTTCTGTCATTCCCTGTTGCTGAGGYTGGCTGTAGAAAAGCAAGATACAATTTTTAAGTCATCTTATAAAGTCAGGAGAGTCCTGTGGGAAGAATTAAGGGGATTTTAAGAAATGACCACAGTAAGTTTATCTCCATTTACAACAGTAACTTGTGGCTTTCTCTTCCATCTGAATTCTCACTTTGTTGCAGGAATTAAATTGGGATCCATTAAACATTCTATTCTTTGCTTCTGCAAGAGAAGTAATATCTTCTATCTTGCAGTACATGAAAGATGATTATTTTTGCTATACTGAATAGCTGATTTGTACATTCACTAATTATCAATATCTTTTGACAACAATATTGACAAAGGAAGACTGGCAGCCTTCCAAGGAAGCTATCCAGTGATGTTCAGAATGTGCATAAAAAGTGCAAAGCTGCCCACATACATTTGTGAAACCAGTGGGCTTTTGTTTGCATACGAGGCCGTGTCCATATAAGACAAAGGCAGCTTTTCCTACTGACTCAATATTGCTTTCCAGTAACAATTTTTATTGAGTCTCTCCATTTGGTACTCTTCTGTTATGATCCTAAAATAAATAAAATATTCATAAAATGATCAAAGTTTAGCAATTAATGTTTTACAAAAAAATACACAAATCTCATATTATAAACATATTTTAAGCTGAATCACCAAAATATTCAACAAAAGCTATTAGCAAGACAATAGATAGCAGCCTTTTTAAAAAAACTTACTAGGACATCTTCAGGAGTTCATTGGTTTCAGGTTTCCACACTCCTCTCACCAACTGCTCAAAATTGGAGATTAGACCACCACCAGCTCCTGAAATTGCAGACATTTATTAGAAAGCCTTGAACTGGCAATGCTGTTACTGCTGCAGACCCACTGTTGCTTCYAACAAAACTCCATGTGTGCACCCAAGGCTCAGACTTACAGAGCACAATCCAATCTTTCCTATGTTCACAAACTGAGTGACCAAAATGAAACCTCAGAGGTTCCACAAGAGCTCAGTAAGAACCTCAAGTTCACCTGCATGTGATAGCATAAATATCTGGAATTGGCCCTCTCACCGCTAGAAAATATAATGCTTGAAATAAATCTCCAAAATAAATCTCCAAAGAAGCTTTTATCATTTCTTTCTCAAACAGCTATTTAACTGCAGGTTTTGGAGACCTTCCCCAAGAGAAGGTGGACGTGTATTTTTACACTGAAAGATTGCTGTTTTAAGAATTTGGCCAACAGGCCTGATCTTTATCAAATTCGAAAAATATATTAGACTATCAACACATTAACACATGTTGTTTCCCAAAGCATAGCAGAATCAGGGAAATAGGATAGCAGCCACACTATTATTCCCAAAATGGTTCTAAGTATGTGACTCTATTTTACTGCTATAAAGTTAGTTTCCAAGATTGTACTTAAAATACAGAAGGCAGGCAAGAGGTTTCCTTCATGTGCTTAAATCAACTCATGTTTACAAGCCAGAATGCTTAGAAARCAAGCTCTCTTCTTCAGTCACACACAAGGAACAGACCTCTCAGGAACTACACACTTAAGGGAGGTGAATTACAGCACTGAAGTTACAGGAGATATCTATTTCCTTCCTGCCATCAAATACGCATCCTACGCGGTCTTGCAAGACCACCTGAAAAAAGATGCATTTACCCCAAAACCATTCAATGACACCCTTAATCCAGGCAAAATAAAAGGAAAAAAAAAAAAAGAAAAAAAAGAAAAAAAAAACCCTGCTCCACAGACTTTTTCCCTTGAGGGTACAACAGACTGTATTAGGGCTATCATATCCACCACAGCAAGGAATGGTGCTACAGCTAAGCTGAAGGGCTAGACATTTAAATACTATTCCAAAACATCACAATTCATCACAAGAAGACACTGTGCGCGTTACCTCTGGCCCAGCCCACAGCTATCATAACAAGCCAGGCATTTTTGAAGTGACTGTCCGCGTGTGCAACGCCAGACGTTATTTTCCAAGTCCTTGTCACTTCTTTCATTCCTGCAACCAGAAGACGAAGAGGCAGAAACGCAAAGCACCGGCAGAATATGTCTTGCGGACAGTAAAATACAAGATACCTGAAAAATAAGATTAAAAAAAATAGAAAAAGTAGTTACTAGAGAGTTACTAGTAGAGAAAAATAGCTACTGTTCTTTAAGTGTTTCCGCTAATGAAATTACTTTCTAATAACCCTTTAAAGGTTTGGAGGGGGAGGGGAAAGGGTTGGGTTTTATTTATTTATTTTGAGCAGTGATGCTTGATATACTATTGATATCTCATTGTCTTAAGTTAAATGTATTAGAACAAATTTATTGTACCAGAGCAGACATATAGTTGAAACTCTTTCCACTGCCACACTGGCACACGGAAATTCTGTCTTTAATAAAAATTCTCATGTAATTTCTTATTTTTTATATACATATTTTATCAAACATTCTACAGTTTCTCATGTTTACACAATTCAAATTATTAAATTACTGTAAGATGTTCTTTGAATTTCTTGCAGGATTTGGATCTTGCAGGAGAAAAACAKTAAGTTACATTCTAACATCATGTTTTCCTACTGATAAGGGACATGAAATTATTTAACTTCAGCAAGGCTCACTACTTACAGTCACACTAGATGTAATGCATAACTATTTTCAAACACATTTCACATCATCATAGCAAGAGATTCTAGCTTTTGCAGCTTGCTGATTGCAAGTTCCTTTCTTAAAATTTGAAGAGCACAACTGAAATAGTACATTAAATTTTAAAATGTTTCATCAAATTGTTTTTAAAAAAAAGTAATGTTCAAGATGTCTAACTGAAATGTTAAACTGACAAAAAAACCCTAAAAGATCAGGTTATATTGTGTTTTATTGTATCTCTTCAGTCATACAGAAAAATTAAGTTCTTCCACAGATATTCAAGAACTGCAGATGTGAAGATTAAGCACCTCTGTTACTTCAACACAGGAATATTCAAGTGATAATGACATGACAGTAGAGAATGGCTTTAGAAAATGAAAAAGTACCCTGGCCATATCTTAAATAATATTAGCCATTTGGTTTAGGCTGCTCAGCTCAGTTCTTCTCACTAAAAATTTCTAAGGCTGCATCCTTATCCTTAGTCCTTGGGCAGTAAATCAAAGATGTACCTTTTTTTTTTTTTTTTTT